CATCTCAGATGTTCAACCCCTGTCTCAGTTGTCCCCTGTTTTCCCAGCCCACCACAGTTGAATTCTCTCTGTCCCTGTCCATGGGGCTGGCACAACTCACCGAGCCCCTTTGCTGTTGTTCATCACCCCCGCGCTACCCAAAAGCGCTGCCCACCACGAAGTAGACAGTGAGAAGGATTGTGTGGTCTCTCAGGTGAGACATCCAAGAGCCAAGGATTACCAGAAACTTGGCAAACTCAAGTTTTCCTTTAAAATCCTCCCCCTGGGTGTCTGGGTGCTGCTTCACGGCCCTGCCAGGGTCTCTGTTTCTGAACCAGGGCAGCCGCCTCCAGCGCCCGCCTTTTCCCCGGGGTCCTCCCCTCGCCCCGAGCCCGCAGCGCTGTGACCCTGTTCAGACTGCAGACAGGTAATGCACAGCCCACAGCTTCCCTGGCTGCTAACGCTTCTCGTCAAAATTTGGGTCCCGAGGGAAATGAAGGAGTCTGGGCAAAACTGACAGCGCTGCTCCACATTTGCCAGGGGATGAAGGAAAATAAACCAGTACATTCGTGAAGTTGATGCAGCAGTTTGTCTTTTTTAACCGTAACAGACTGCACAGCATTCATTGAGGAAAAAAACATGGAATTACAGAATCGTTAGGGTGGAAAAGGCCTTTAAGATCATCAAGTCCAGCCATAACTTGTGCACCACCAAACCATGGCCCCAAGCCCCTCACCTCTTGTCTTTTCAACACCTCCAGGGATGGAGACTCCACCACTGCCCTGGGCAGCCCCTTCCAGTGCTGGACAACCCTTTCAGTGAAGGAATTCCTCCCAAAATCCAACCTAACCCTCCCCTGGTGCAACTTGAGGCCATTTCCTCTTATCCTATCCCTTGTTATTTGGGACAATACCCCCTCCTTTCAAGAGCTGCAGAGGGGATAAGGTCTCCCCTCACCTCCTCTTCTCCACTTGAACCCCCCAGCTCCCTCAGCCGCTCCCCATCATTCGGCTGCTCCAGACCCCTCCCCAGCTCCCTTGGGCCACGCTGCAGCCCCTCAATGTCCTTCTGGGAGCACGGGGCGGATCATGGAGAGCTCTTCCTTGCCCAGCTGGGTCAGCGAGGGTACGTGTGGTGCCTCAGCCCCTGTTTCCCACAGTTTTCCCCTAATTTCTCTTTCCAGAAATGCAGGAGGGAGGCTTTTGTCCTTCTCCTGACTCTGACCTCAGAGTTCCCAGCCCGGGGTCAGCATCTCCAAGCACATACAACCTCCAGCACCACTTACGTATGCAGGGCAGGGACCCAGCGAATGCTGTAGGAGTTGAAGTGAGCATTTTGTGGTGGTTTCGAGGAAGGGCAGTGAGCGGGGGCGAGGCGGTCGCAGGTGTAAGGGCTTCCAAGGGTGCTGTGGCCAACGCAGG